ATAGAATAGAATAGAATAGAATAGAATAGAATAGAATAGAATAGAATTCTTTTTTTGGCCAAGTGTGATTGGACACATAAGGAATTTGTCTTGTGTTTAAGCTCTCAGTGTACATAAAAGAAAAGATACATTCGTCAAGAGTCAAGAATCATAAGTACAACACTTAATAATGGTCATAGGGTACAATAAGCAATCAAATCATACTAGGAACTCATCATTATAAATCGTAAGAATGTAAGTGACAAAGTTACAGTCATACAATCACAAGTGAGAGGGGATGGGTGATAAAGAGTGATGAGAAGATTAATAGTAATAGTAGTGCAGACTTTGTAAATAGTTGGACAGTATTGAGGGAATTATTTGTTTAGCAGAGTAATGGCATTCAGGAAAAAAATGTCCTTGTGTCTAGTTGTTCTTGGGTGCAGTGCTCTATAGCGTCGTTTTGAGGGTAGGCAGTGAAACAGTTTATGTCTGGGATGTGAGGGGGCTGTAAATATTTTCACAGCCCTCTTTTTGACTCGTGCAGTATACAAGTGCTCGATTGAAGGCAGGTTGGTAGTAATTGTTTTTTCTGCAGTCCTAATTATCCTCTGAAGTCTGTGTCTGTCCTGTTGGGTTGCAGAACCAAACCAGACAGTTATAGATGTGCAGATGACAGACTCAATAATTCCTCTGTAGAACTGTATCAGTAGCTCCTTGAGCAGTTGGCACAGAAAGAACATTCTTTCTTGTGCTTTTTTGATGATGTTTTTGATGTTAAGTGTCCATTTTAGGTCTTGTGATATGATAGAACCTAGATATTTGAAGGTCTCTACTGTTGATACTGTGCTGTCTAATATTGTAAGAGGTGGTACTGTGGGAGGATTTTTTCTAAAGTCTATCACCATTTCTATGGTTTTGAGTGTGTTCAATTCCAGATTGTTCCGATTACACCATGAGGCAAGTTGTACAACTTCCTGTCTGTATGTGGATTCGTCGTTTTCTCGAATGAGACCAATCACTGTTGTATCATCTGCAAACTTCATTATTTTAACAGATGGATCATTTGAGATGCAGTCATTGGTATATAGGGAGAAGAGAAGTGGAGAAAGCATACAGCCTTGGGGGTCCCCTGTGCTAATTGTACAGGTATCAGATGTGATTCTGCCTAGCTTCACCTGCTGCTTCCTGTCTGTTAGGAAGCTTATGATCCACTTACAAGTGTGTTCAGGTACTGCTAACTGGTTTAGTTTAGTTAGAAGAATGTCTGGGATGATGGTATTGAATGCTGAACTGAAGTCTACAAAGAGGACCCTTGCGTAGGTATTTGGAGATTCAAGGTGTTGTAGGATGTAGTGCAGAGCCATATTAACAGCATCATCTGTCGATCTATTTGCTCGGTATGCAAACTGCATGAGATCTAACAGCGAATCCATGATGGTTTTCAAATGGGACAGCACAAGACTTTCAAATATTTTCATAACTACAGGTGTTAGAGCAACTGGTCTGTTCCCTGATGGAGGGCTTCTTTGGCACTGGGATGATAGTAGAGTGTTTGAAGCAAGAAGGAACATAGTACATATCTAGTGATTTATTGCAGATTTGGATGAAGATGGGGGCCAACTGGTCAGCACAGACTTTTAAGCAAGAAGGAGTTATCTTGTCTGGTCCTGGTGCTTTTCCTGGCTTTTGTCTGTGTAATAGATCTTGCACTTCTTTTTCTGTGATCACCAGAGGTTGTGAACCCAATGGATTGGGGCCGGTTGTAGGAGGCTTGGCTGTTGTTGGTGTATTTGAGATAGGGGTTGTGGAGATAGGTGGCTGTAGTTTCCTTTCAAACCTGCAGTAAAACACATTCAGGTCATCTGCTAGTTGTTGATTTCCATCTGCCTGGGATGGAGGTTTGCTGTAACCAGTAATGTTTTTAAGAGTTTTCCACATGTTTGCTGGTTCATTTGTTGAGAACTGATTCCTTAACTTTTCAGAGTAGCTTCTTTTTGATGCTCTGATCTTTCTTGTTAATATGTTTCTAGCCTGATTGTATAGCATTCTGTAACCTTTTCTGTAGGCTTCCTCTTTGAAATGACGTAGCTGCTTAAGTTTAGCTGTGAACCAAGGTTTATTGTTACTATATTTTTGCAGGTTCCTTGTTGGTACACATAAGTCTTCGCAGAAGCTGACATTTGATGTTACAGTATCTGTGAGCTCATCTAGGTCTGCAGAGGCATCTTCAAAAGCATTCCAATCAGTCCAATCAAGGCAGGCCTGGAGCTTCAGCTTTGCCTCATCAGACCAAGTCCTCACTGATTTAATTTTGGTTTCATGGTCTTTGTCTGTAGACAGGTACAAGGTGAATCATGTAGTAATCAGAGTGTCCCACAGCTGCTCATGGTAAAGACCTATAAGCATCTTTTACTGTTGTGTAGCAGTGTTCTAAAATATTTTTGACTCTGGTGGGACAATTTACATGATGGAAATATTTTGGGAACTCTTTCCTTAAATTTGCTTGATTGAAATCTCCTAAATGATGGGAAGGGAATCTGGGTGTTTGGCTTCAGCCTCCACAATTTGATGAGCTAGAGTTCATAATGCCTTGTTTACACAAGCTTGTGGAGGAACACACACAGCTATTAGGAAAAATGAGGGGAACTAACGTGGAGAATAAAATGGCTTGCAGTTGATATGTAAAGAATCTAAGTTTTCATCACAGAAAATTTACACATCTATTTCTACCAACAATAAATACTAGTTCCAATTATATCTGTCCTCTACTTTATTTTAGAAAATAAAGCAATATTTTACTTTACAAAATAAGTAATAAATATACTATATAAATGTTGTAAAAATCATATTTAAAAGAAAAGTTTTTTAAAGCTTGTAAACTGAAATTTATTTATCAGCTTTCCTTTCATTAGGAAAGACTTCTGAATCCTGTTTCAAGAGATGCTTACTTAAAACTAATTTTTTTATATGAGTGGCAATTAACTACCAGATGGAGAAGCAATGTTTTAACTGGAAAATAAGCTTTGAGAACACCATCTGTGTGAAATTCATGTAGTAAACAAGTCTGGCTTTCATATTATCATCCAAAATGCATTTTTATCAGAATTATTTTCTGAAATAAATGTAAAATGTGAGCTATATAAACTGTGTTCTGAGCTCATAACTCATGTGACATATTTTACTCTTTTATACATGCAGAGCTAAAGAAAAGGTCTTTTAAAAAAAGCAAAACAAGATCATCTGTCTCCTTTCTGTGTTTTGGAGAAAAGTCTGTGATGAGGCAAAAAATAGATCTCTTACACTAAGAGTTGTATAGGCTGCATATATAAATGGAGCAGATTGATTTAATAAGCTGCTAAAAATATCAGTTATTACAGGTGATTTCTCAACTGCTTTTCCAGCAAAGTGAAGTATGTAACTGTCCTTTGATCAAGGACTGTGGGTGTAGCTTTGAGTGACATATCAGAACCTGTACTTCTAAAAGTTGAACAATAAATAACTTAATTTTATGCAATTGATATGGTTATTTCCAACATATTTAATAATGCTATCTTTTGGTTACATTACAGAATACAATTCTGGACTGCTTAGGATTTGGGGGGACTGAATGAAACCCTAAGACTTTAGGTTGTGTACATCTTTAGAATTTATTTATTTATTTGGGTTGCACACCAGGAATAAATGTAATGCTTTCATTGACCTTTGCAAAAGCTCTTTGCAATAACTGGGTTGAGAAAGGTTTATAATATTATCTACATAACTTACTTGAAGCGAGATGTTTGCTTGAGGACGGATTTTGGCTGGTGGAAGCTCAACGTAGGAATCCTTCCCAACAAAATTGACAGTAATGAGTTTCTCACACTTCTGGCCAGCAAAACCTGCCAGGCAACGACAGACTGGTTCCTGCTGCACAACAATACATTGCGCTCCATTTTGGCATTCATAATAATCACAAGGACTGGTTTGGAGGAGAACCATGGGTGGTGGATTTTCACAGAAGAGTCCACTTGAAAAATAGAAAATGGTTAATGTTAATTTGAGGCGCAAAAGCATTAAACAGGAGTTTAGTGATATGTGATTTACATAAATATCTTTTGCTGCTGTAGGATACTTCAAGTTGACAAATATTGGCCCAAACATTACCATTTCCAATTAACATTTCAATGTTTTAGGCGATTCTAAGAACAACTGCATATGGAATAGCTATAACACAATAGACACCACCTGATTTTGAAGAAAACATTTTGTACTAATGAAGAAATGTTCTAGGGAAAAACTATATGTTTATTACTGTAATTTATTCAATTTCTATAGCCATCCATAAACAAGTGATTCTATTGGTGAACAATCACATTGTGGGGATAACATATTTATTTTATATGAAAGCATAAAAATAATAAAAATTGTGTAAGGAAATTTTACATATTAATAATTTATTATATATTAACACTCCTCCAATTTTCCTGTTTCTTCCAGTGGAAAACTTTCTATTCACTTATGTCTTGACCAAACCAGGAAGGACAAAAATTGTTCTTCTATTAATAATGGTTACATTAAGCAATGTATCTTGATTATTTGACTGTGAAACACTCAGTTAAGGCAGAGTAATCTCCCTTTCCCTTCCAGATATATTGCAACTCTTTAAACCAGCCAAACTGCCATTATTCCCACTCTATCTGGAGGACCTCAGATAAAGAAAGTTTAAATGAATGTGAACTTTATAAGAAAAAAACCCCCTAACCTTTGAAAACTAAACTGTGTATTTCAAAAATTTCTTTAAAAATAAAACAGTTCTGAAATAAAGTAAAATAAAACCCTACGTGGAATGTTTTAATTTTTCAACAAAAATATACAGTTCTTTCTTATCAGTGTTTCTTAAACATGGACTATACAGTTACCACACTTGTCTACTTTAGAAATACAACTCATTTTTAATTTGTTCTTTTTTGACTTTCCTATACCCATATTTTCTTTTATTCTGATCAAAAACTGATCAGTCAATGTGAAACATGAATCTGACTCTTTTTTTTCTCAACATCTGGACTTTTTTTAGTCAGTATTAACCAAACATCTTGTGCTGACAATGTTGATATTCAACAAAAAATAGCTAGAGCAAGAAATCTGAATTAGACTAGAAATGTTGCATTGGATGAGAAGGTCTTAAACAGTCAGTGTTGCCATCATTCCAAAGGGATTCCCTATATTAAATTTTCAAGAGAAAGAAAGTTCTTATTTTAACTTTCAAGAAAGATATAGTATATGTAGGCCACCACTATGTTCGTATGTGTACCAGGCTGCAGACCGAGGGTTGGGGACTCCTGTTCTAGAGGACACTTTATAATAATATTTACACTTTTTCATTATTTTCTGCCTTAATGCTATCACTTCTCTGAATTGCTTTTCCAAGTAGTTTTCTAGTCACTGGTAGGCCAGTGGTGGACACTACAATAAAAATACACTTTTGCTGGATGAAATATGTGCAAAGAACAACTGTATTCATGTATAAACAGGTGACTTGATTGTTCTTACTGTAATCTTACTGTAATATTGTAATATTCTGTGCTGATATACTCATCCAATGTTCAAATCCTCCAAATGGAACACATTAATCAGGCAATGGTAAAGTTGAAAAGAGAAAGCCTAAGCTTTTTTAACTAAGTTTTTAAACAAAAGCATTCCAAAACTAGCCAATCAATTTGCACAGCATAATGAGCATATCATTACAGGTAGGTCCTCAATTTACAGCTAGTCACTTAGCAATCATAAAGTTATGACAGACTCTTTAGTACATATTACTTATTTGAGGCATGTGGCAAACAGCCTGCATTTACAGTTGTTTGCAATGCCCCACAATCATGTGATCATGATTTATATATATATTTTATGGGAAACAGGTCTATTACAGATAGTAGGTTTGCTTGATGGCTCTGCATTCACTTAACGACCATAGATTTTTTGCTGATGCAAAAAAAAGTCATAAAATTGGATTAGTCACGTGATGATCCACTTTAATGACCGGTACAACTTACAGCCATCATTCCAGGTTCAATTATGGTTGTAAGTCAATATAACCTATAACTTTCTTTGATCATTTGAAATCATTACAATTTTATTAACACAATCAAAATCATGTCATTTCATTTGAACGATGCAAAGCATATCTGTTTCCCGGTGAGGAATTTTATTGTGAAAAGAAAATAGGAATGTAAACCAACTACTGGTACCCGGAACTGGGAGACAGCAGTGCAGTTATGAGGCAATAGTGTCATGGATAATTATGGCCAGATCTGAGTAGCACAGATTTTATCAGCCTATTATATTTAATAGTGTCTCTATACTGTATTATGAAACTGCACCATTGCTAATGCTGACATGAAGAACATATTCAGAACTACCAAGTCTCAAAGCTGCTCTAAAACCAGATCCATTGCAAGTGTAAATCAAACGAACAAAAGATCCATACATTCTGTATCAAAATTCAGTCCTATTAATAGCATAAATAAAGGTAAAAAGTGAAGAAATCCCGACAGATAAAAACATAGTTAAAAAAATATTAGAATGTGCAGATATGGATAGATAACATTGACAATTAAGGAAAAGGAGAAAACTGAATATTTTTTGACATGGGACCTGTTTTATCAATAGAATAATAAAAACAGAAGTTGAAAACATGGAAATGTAAGAAAAGAACTAATGTTATAAGGGATATTTGTTAAAATGGATAAGCAAATATTATTACTATAGAATTAATATCAATGTAATGATTACTGATGTAAATATTTTGATCATTATTTTCTAAAATAATATGTACCCAGGCAACACACTGTTCAACTGAAATTGAAACTTTTATAGGTTATAAAATAAAAAACCTTTACAAAAAAACAGTCCAGACTAAGGTAGTTAGAGATAACTAGTTAGAGTTACTGGAATAAATCCCAAGAACCCCAGTACCAATTCTAGCATGTTCAGCGCTTACACAGATTGATACACTATTTTCTTCAGATTCTATGTAAAAGCAAAATTCAAAACTATTTTCCAACACTTCTTACTTTACCTTTTGTAACTCAGCTATCTTCTTTCATATAAAACACAGTATGACCCTTTTTGGAATGCATTAATATATTTCTTCATCTATCTCAAGTTAGTCTACATAGATGTGCTCCAAAAGCTGCCTGAGAGAGTTACTCCACGGAGTTCCAACATAAAGTATAACTAATCTCAATGAGGCTTATTCTTGTCCAGGTTTTGGACAGTCTGCTTTTGAAAGCTTTGTTACTGCCAGTTTTTTAATTCAGTCACATTCTTGGAATGGATGTTCTGAAAAGCCAGGGCAGGTATTGTAACCTTCTTCAACTTGTGACTTCTGGGAATCTTTAACTTCTCCGATCAAGGGAAATCATCAAGCTGGGAAAAGGTAAGACAGTGAAAATGCTAGAAAATTCTTCTTCCCAGTTTGTATTGTTTGTTATATGTGCTGGAATTTGTGGTGGTCAACATAGACCAATCACCTAGTTTCTTGTTAGTTAATACAGTTCTTTAAGGAGTATGCAGGGAGCAAACAAGAAGCAAAGGTCAGATTTAAGCTAACTATTCTGTTTATTTTGTTTTTAATATGCAATTGAAAATCCTTTATTTGAAATCTTATTACATCTTGTATCTTTATCTCTATCTTAAATATAACAATAAACTTGCTATCTGGTTTGTCCAACCAGGAAACTTCATTATGTATCAATCAATAGGCCTGCAATTGATTTACTATTATATTACACCTCTAAGAGCTTTTCTTTTCTTTTTTTTCAAGCCAAAAAGGTGAGTAAATTAAAAGTGAGTAAATACTTGTTTCCCAGATGATTGTAACAGCCCAATCCTGAACATGTAAATGAACTTTGTGATTTCAATGTTAACTACTCTCTTAGAATATATATATAGAATTGTGATTTGAATATTTAAGAGTAACCAAAGAAACTGCTACAGAAAAAAATGGCCCTAGCTATGGATTGCTATAGTTTTAGTAACCCCACATTTCCCTTCACCAAGTCGGTTTGTGCTGTCTTATCATAATGGGGGAGGAGGTATTCCTGGGTGAGATGAAGAACATTGAGAGTGTATGCCAGGAATATATATTCCAAGTAGGATTAATCAGGCACAAAGGTCATCCCAGCTGAAGCAGACATCTATATTAGTTAGAGATATAGACAGGGGTGGGATTCAATTTTTTTAACAACCGGTTCTGTGGGCGTGGCTAAGTTGGTGGGCATGGCTTGGTGGTCATGTTATTGGCTGGTGTGGCCAACTCAATATCACACATCGAGGCACGCATCTCCTCTCCCGGCCTCTCGTAACTGTGAGGATGCTGCAACAGTCATAAGTGTGAAAAATGGTCATAAGTCACTTTTTTCAGTGCCTTTGTAACTTTGAATGGTTACTCCACACAAGCAAAGTACCAGCAAAGGAGGGGAAAAAAACTCCAGAGAAGTTGCAGAGACAGGAAGTCTAGTCCTGCCAAGAATGTAGAGGCAGTTTCTGTAAGCAACATCAGAATGTTTCCTTCCTGCCTTCCTTACAGGATTAGGCCAGTAATTTCTTCTCCGAACTGTTTAGAATGTTAACAACCGGTTCTAGCAAATAGGTGTGAACTGGTAGAATCCCACCCCTGGATATAGATCTTTTAATTACTGTATATAAGAAGATGCCAGAGGTGGATGATTATCTAGTGACAATGGCAAAGACATAAATTCATACTAAGTAGCAGAAGCAATGGTAAACCACCCTTGTAAGGCAATCACATGGACATAAACTATAAAATGACTAATGACATAGTCCTGGATGAAGTGGTCCCTCAAGTCAGATGGCACTCAACATGCTACCAAGGAAGAGCTGAAGATCTTTCAGAATACTAATGGTATTTATAACAAGGCTTGATTAAAGCTTTTATCAGTTGTTGATATTGTTGTTGATGTTATCATACATGAAAAGAAAAACTGGAGCCACAAAAAGAGAATTGCA